TTACAGTGCTCACAGGACTCTCGTTTTGCCACAAATCTGCTCCTTAAATATTGAACCTCGACAGTGAAAAGAACCTCCCTCTGCCAAATATGAAAATATTCATTTTTGATAGAAAATGTTTACATTTAGCCATTTAAAAAAAGCCACAACAAAGAAGAGACAGAATACCACCCCGCCACCACCCCCAAGCACCACATTCAAGTTCAGTCAACAGCCCACAACTTTGCAGAGACAGCGTTATGGGCTCACAGATTATTTTGTGGGCAGCAAGGGCAAAGGTATGTCCTGTTCTTAAAAGCACAATCACCTCACCATTTTCTTCAGAACAAGGAGAAAACAGAACACCAGTGGGCAATAGCAACCTGCGGGGGTGGAGGGAGGGAAGAGGAAGGAGACTCAGATGCGACCCATCAACGCAGGCTCAGCCAAACACAGCAAGTTTTATGCCATTGTTAAGAACAATTGTTTAATGAACTAATTTGCAAGTAAAATGTGTATCTACAGTCATTGGCAATTGCTAAGATCCTGTTCACCAAGCAAAAAAAGGGCATGTACTTTGATTGGGAAGCACTTGCTGGTGCTGCTCAACTCCCTCCTGCCTGTTGCTCTGCCACTGTGGTGTCTGTCTGCTCACGCAGTGTGGCCTTTCCCACCGTCCCCAAGGAGACAAGAACGGAGCCTCCTGCTAGAAAGAGTCCCACGCAAAATGCTACTGCTCAGTTCAGCAGTCTGTCATCCCAAACATGGAGTTTTCACATGCGAAACAGGGGGCTGGAGAGCAGCACGGCTCATTTCTTCACTGAATTCTGAGGTGACTGAACTGCAGTGCACTTGAACATGGATGGGGGGGGGGGGCGGAATCCAGGGGATTAGCAGGTGAAAATCTCTGGGAGAAGGAAGAAACTGGAGGAGGAGACTGCAAAGAATTTGTGTGTTGTGTGCATCACTGGATGGGAAATAATGTATGGAGGCAAACTGTTTACACAATAGCATATAAACATGTATTACATAAATACATACCTACACACACACACCTCCGAGCCCTTCTTTTTCTGGAACTTCTTTTTTCTGGAACTCGATGATCTTCAAGGTCCTTTCCAACCTAAACCATTCTATGATGATTCTAAGATTCTTTTGCTGCTTGCGTAAACATCCTTGGTCAATTCATGCCCTCTGCCGACAAAGTAAGAGTAACACATCATTGACTTTCACTTCAGTGGGACCAGGGATTTCATGATCCAGGGTAAGGACTTGGACCTGGCTTGACTATTCAAACTCTGATTTATCCAGTTGCATCCACGTGCATCATCCTGGCTCAGGTGTTGAAACAGTTTTATTTCAGGACAATAAATTATTTTCATCTGAAATTAATCCAGAATTAAGTTCCCCCACAGGCAGGTTCCAAACATAAATAAGGATGCCTTCCAGCAGATGTGTCACTCCTCATGTGCCTAGAGGCTTCAGGGGCTTGTAAGATCCAACCCTTCCTCAAATAACCCACGCAAAGGCCCGAGTGCTGTCCTGCGCATTACAGACTGCCACGCCACAGATTCCACTGCAGAGCTCATTCCCTGGGCAGAGCTCTTCACCCCGTCTCTTCCACAGCATACTCTGGTGCACTGCTTTCCTAATCCTCCACTTTTCCTTCTGCGCCCAACATTTTCTTCACCTTCCTTCCGATGTAATCTTTGTTTTCCTGCAATGAATATATCTAGCTCCCCCCAGCAAAAGCGACGTCAGCCGCTTGTTACCACAGATGCTGAAGCCCCAGGTAGCCCCTGCGTAACACAGACACCAGGTGGACTACCTGGGGACAGTATTAGGAAGGCAGCTAAAACTGTCAAATACTGGTCTTACACTATGCACAACACCAGGTAAGGAAAGCTATTTTCTGGTGGATATTCAACTGTGGCACTGGTTGAAAGTTGGATGTTCCCACGACAGAACATTATGGGTTGCCTCCAGAAAAAACCCCACTTCTGAACTTTTTATTGTGATCATTTTTGTTAGGATCTGCATGTGTGTGTGTATATATATACATATCCACCTATCATTTTAAAAAATAAAAAATATTGTTGTTCATTACCGTTCATCTCAGTATATCTAGGACTATACTTTGAGGAGCACAGTTATCCATGTCCTTTCCCCCAAAACAAGAAGGACAACTTCCACATGTATATGCAATAAAACTGTATTTTTGTGTGGTTTTGCCTTTTTTTTTTTTTTTAATACAGACATTTGTACACTTTCTTACAAAACTGCAGGTAACTACAACTTTTCTTAAATCATTTTTGGTCGGCAAGTACTGTAAAATCTGTGTGCAATTATCATGTATTTACAGGGCCTCATGTTAGTGATTTTTCAATGATTATTACAATAATGTCACACACTCTCAACATAAGACATGGCTTAAGATAAATATATTAGTAAATAAATATTCTGAGAACATATTTCCATAAATGAAATGTGCTGCTATACATATACAGAATATATACAAGATGTTTCCTAGCTTTAAAAACATTTTAAAAAATGGTAATGAAGGAGAAAGAGCCCTTTGACCATATTACAAATCTTTACAGCAAATTTTATACAAAACAATTTTAAGTGCTATAAGATAATTTTAATTAAAAACATTTTAAATAGTGCCTCATGAGCCAAACACAATGACAACTGTTCGTGTAAGTCGTAGAAAGACATTTTGTTATAAAACCCATCTATCATGGCCAGCTAGCCTGTAAGTCTGCATGGACATACAGGTAGCAGGGAATTAACTAAAGGTTGAGTATAAAACCAAACACAGAAACCAAGCGTAGGCTGCCTCTGTGGTAAGGCCTGCAGAGACTGTTGTACTGGCAGAGATTTCCACAAGTGAATGAGACCAGTACGTCCATGAACACCATGAGCCAGAATATTCAGATTTCTTTTTTATAACCATTTTACCACAACATGCTGTGTAGCTATAGAGTACAATGCATCTTAGGTGGCCTTAGACAGTGCCTCACAAAACACCAAGCAGAATAACCAAGGTAGTGTACCACAGCTTCTACAATGCATTTCCTTTAAGTGGAGGAAGGAGAAAAGTAAGACTTAAAAAAACGAACAAACAAACCCCTCAAACCTGTAGAGTTTATTCTCCCAACACATACCACTTACTTCAGTTATTCAGAGAATGAATGTTTTATACACAGAAAATGTGTTTACTGGAATTTTTCTTTTATACCCAGATATTGCCTTGTATTAATTCTCTGAATCGCTGGATTTTGGTGTTTGTTCATTTAAAAAGATTTAATGTGAATTCCTTTAAATAGACTTTTTTTTCCTCTAACTTATTGAGCACAGAAAGTATAAGTAAACAGATGAATGTATTTGTTATTTCTTAGGTGTTTGCTTCTTTTAAAATATCTCATTTGGGACTATAAAACAAACAAGTTAACTTTGCTGGTTCGCACAAGGAGCCCAGTGCTGTCAAGGACATTACTTTGGCAGAACATGTAACATGAAGTGTAAATCTCTTTTTCATGTCTTTTAAGTATCTCCAAAGTGTACTAAACTTCGGACAAATCTTTTCAGAAGACTGGCATTGTGGGCACTAAATAATTAGTTTCCCTTTAGGAGAATTCCTGC